TTTTCTGAGACAGGGTCTCCCTGCAGCCCCAGCTGGCCTGGAACTCACTATGTAGACCAGGCTGGCTTCTAACTCAGAGATCCATCCGCCTGCCTCTGTCTCCCAAGTGCTGGGATTAAAGGCGTGCACCACCGGCCCAGCTAGATGTTTTCTTTACTAAATAGTGTTGCTATTTCCCTATTAGCAAGATAATATGGGTACCAGCTCATTTGATAAGGTTCAAATGAAAGTATCCATCCATTTTACAATTGTGATCAGCTTAAGTTTGCCATAAACCTCTCATTCCCAAAGTGCTTACAACCTTTTAGTCAAGTAGTACAACTTAAAATTAAGGAGACTATTTTAGGGAACTCCAGTGAAAGGTGTTAATTTTATTCCTTCTGCAAGAATGCAAATCACACAACAAACAATTCCTGTCATGGAAATGGAAAAATACCAATCAGCTTCATCAAAATCGATACCTTTATTTTCGTCATCCAGATTGATTATAGCATACATGTCTCTCAAGTCTGCCAAATCATGGATTTTTATGCTGAAAAGTAAAAAAACATAATTTGGCTGTTTTAAATTAGCATAATTTAGCATAGTGATTAGCACAGTAATAGAGTTCATCTTGGCTTTTTCTTACAATGTTTTTATTCACTCTCTTCCCCAGTCCTGTCCCCTGCTGCAGTCCCCCTCCTCCTCTACCTTGGCCCCTCATGTCTTTTCTTCCATTCTCCTGCTCAGGATTTTCTTCATGCTCCTGCCTCCACCATTGCTTTCATTCAAAGTTTTTATTTCGAGATCACTGTAGATCCATGTGCAGTTGTAAGAATACAGAAAGATTTTGTGTACGTCTTCCTCCCTACAGTAACTTCTTGAGAAGCTAGTATCTTATGGGTACTGACACTGACTGTTTAAGATTGTATTCAGGTGTCCCCCATGGTTATTGACACTCAGGGCATGTGAGTGTGTTTGAGTTCGCTGTGATTTTTCCACATGTGATACTCATGAGATCTACAAGTGCTGCTAGCATTCAGCACCATTAACCATGGGGCTCCTGCCTGTTGCTCTTGGATACATACCTCTCCTCACCCAGTCTGGCTGCAGTTCCTGCATAAATGGAATCATACAGTGTGTAATCTTTGAAGATTGATTTTTTTTTTTTTTTTTACAGAAACTTGAACACTAGTACATTTAAAGTTAATGGATATTTTCCTTTTGGGGTGGCTTTTTTTTTTTTAGACAGTTCTCTTTGTAGCCCTACCTGGCCTGGGACTATGTGGACCAGGCTGGCCTCCATCTCACAGAGATCTGCCTGCCTCTGCCTCCTGAGTGCTGAGATTAAATCTCTGTGCTACCATCCCTGGGTGATAGTTTCCTTTTATAAAAAAATATTTTTTTTCAATTACTTTATTAATTGAATTTTTACAATTTTCATGTGATATAATTTGATGGTATTTAGATTCCCTCCCCTATCTGCACCTCCTCTTACTGACTCCCTGCCATTTTACACACACACACACACACACACACACACACACACACACACACGTAAAATAAGGCCTATAGAGTCTAATTTGTGCCCCCAGATGCCCTTCAGTGTGGGTCTATCCACCAGAGCTTGGTTACTCTACCAAGAGTCCAATCCTTAAAAGAGACTCTCTCTCCCCCTCCCAGCAGCCATCAGTTATCAAAAATTCCTTAGGGTGGGTTGGGGTTTCTTACCCACTTCCCTATGTCTATGCTGAGATTTTGTCTGGTTTGAGCTTACATGGGACCATGCTGTCACCATTGCTGTGAGTTCATATGAGTAACTGACCAGTTGTCTGGAAAACTATTTCCTTATGGTCATTCACCAACTCTGGCTCTTAAAATTTTTTCCTGTCCCCCTCTTCCATAATGATCCTTGAGCTTTGGGAGGCCTAAGTTGATATAGATTCATTTTTTTAATAATATTTTTATTTTATTTGTATGAGTGTATTGCCTACATGTGTGTAAGTGCACCTGTGTCATGCAATGCCCACAGAGGTCAGAAGGTGTCAGATTCCCTAGAACTGGAGTTACGGACAGTTATTGGCCACCGTGTGGGTGCTGGGAATTGAATCCACCTGTATCGTGCAGTGCCCTACAAGATCAGAAGAGGGGATCAGATCTCCTGGAACTGGAGTTAGAGATGGTTGTTGGCTACCATGTGGTGCTGGGAATTGAACCTGGGTCTTCTGGAAGAGCAACCAGTGCTCTTAACCACTAAGCCATCTCTCCAGCTCCCGAATCCCTTTTTTTTTTTTTTTGGTTTTTTTGAGACAGGAACTCCCTGTAGTGGGGCTGGCCTGGAATTCACTATGTAGACCAGGCTGGCCTTAAACTTACAGAGATCCACCTGCCTCTGCCTCCCAGTACTGGGATTAAAGGTATGCACCACCACGCCTGGCTCCATTTTAAGATCAATTTTCTAGCATACTCCATTTTCAGTTTTGCCCTGAGTGTTAACAGTAGGGAAGGAGTAGAGGAATTAACTTATTTTTCATTGTAAATATATTCAGGGTCCAAGAGAGTACGAATGTCAGATTTGCACCAACCATAAAAGCTTTGCTGATTCTACCCACATAAAAATCCTAGAAATGTGCAACTGTAACTCACCAGTTATCTCCACATGTTGCAGCTTTGTTCAGAGTCTGTGATAAAGCCACACTGGTCAGGTTATCCTTATGGTCACGAGCCTTAAATATCTCCTGCCCAACTTCTGGAAAATGAGTTGAAACAGCCAGAAAAGTTCCACGTGAGAAGCCAATCATGATGTAGCCATCGCTATACCTACGGCAACAAAGCAATCACAGGGTTAAAAAGGAGACAGACTATCATGGGTAATATGGCAAGTCAACAAAAACCTTTAATAATATGAATTACAGAATATCAAGGCCCTCATGCATCAGGTAACATGCTAGGTAGTTTTGTAAATCACACTCTGGAATAAGGAAAATGCTGTATATCGACTTGAATGTTACAGACCAACTTAAATATAATCAGTAAGGAAAACCACATGGATTTTTTTTTTGTAATAAGCCTTTTGTACATACCAACTATAGGAGATAATGTTGCCATAGGCCTGGGGAAATTCCAGGTCGATTGGGTTATCTGGTTCATTCAGGTTAAAAAGAAACAACACTTTCTTGCCAAGTACAGCACTTATCTGCCAGAAAAGATTAGGAGATTGGGAAATGAATTACTCAGAATTTCATGAAAAGACCAACAAGTAAATTCACACAGCTGAATCCAATTTATGAAAACAATACGCCAAAGTTAGATTTGCTAAATGTTATTAGTATGACATGTGTCTAACAAAAATAGAAAAAAGCATTTACCAATGTCTATTTTGGCAAAGGTCTTTGGCTTTACGTATCTTCAATATACCTTTTGAAATACATGACAATGCCTTTAGGGAACTGTCTTTTGAAATTCTCTCTCTCTTATTAGATTTCTGTGCTGTTTAGTTAGAGTTTGGTGTAGTTTCACTATAACTACTGTTTTTTTAATTAAAAATTTTTTTGTTTTCAAAATAGGGTCTCACCATATAACTCTGGCTGGCCTGGAATTGATGGTGTAGACCAGCCTGGCCTCAAACTCACAGAGAGTCATTTACCTCTGTCTCCTGAGTGCTGGGACTAGAGGCGTGTGCCATCACACGTGGCTGCTTTCATCTTTGAAGTATAGAGTCTTTCATTATAAGGAGTCACTTGACTTTTGAGCTACCCAGGTGAATTACAGGTCTACCCTCCTAAGGATAAGCTAGGTGACTCTGTATTAACATCCCTTTCTACCACCTGCAGGTCAGTGTGCCTAAACCAGGATCTCTATGTGACTCACATAAGATATGAACTTACTATAATTCTCACTGGAGGAGAATCATGTTGGGGAGAGAAAAGAGTTTAAGAGTGACACTTTTATTTCCTCGATTCTAAAATGGTATCAATTGTACAATACTATCATCTTAAAAACAGCCTTTTAGGAAACAAATATTACTTCCTCAACTATATTATCCACACTGATTATGAAATTTATCTGGATTTTAGAAAACTACAATATAGGGAGGAAAATGTACCTGTTGAGAAAACAGAAGCTACAATTTTGGGAGATCTGTTCACCATTTCTGATAAAGCAGAACATTTTTTCATTACATAGAAATTAGTATTTCTTAAAGGGACCTCTGCACTTTTGCTACCACAGAATGAGCCACACCAATTGTAGCAGGAGGCTGTTCTCATCTGCTGGGGTATGAGGTAGTCGCAGCAGCAAAAACAGTTTTAGGCCTAAGAGACTAAGACTTACCTTGGTTTAAGAAACAACAGACATAATTTACTTATCAAACTCCTAGCCATCTGAGAAAAGGAAATTGCATATTCTATAAAACTACCAAAATGATTTGGGTGCGAATTTGATTTAGAATTCTTACTGTGTTTTCAGCAGCAGAAATTCGGTCATCAGTCTTGCTTGTAGAAAACTTAATGTCACTTGGCTCTGATTTGATTGTTGTCTACAGGGGTAAGAAATAACATCACTGTGAATAAACCCAATATTCAAATTCACTCTGGGGGGCTGAAGGGGGCGCTTGGTGGTAGGGCACATGGTAAGCATGTATGAAGCCCTGTATTCAATGCTCAACTCCTTCCCTCTCTAAAAAAACAAAAGAAATGAGCCCACAGACATATGCACAAATTCACTTAGAATATTAATAAAATAAGGAACTTGCTTTTATTTGTTATTAATTTTAGATTAACCTGAAACTCCACAGCTACAAATAGCTAGAAATTCTGGATGAAACAGATCCATACCTTTTTGACGTGTTGGTTGTTAGCCCTATTAACTTTTAATGGCTGCATGTCTCTCAAGTCCCAGACCCATATCTTTTTAAATGGACAGATAAACTTGAAAGAAGGAAAAGAAAAATTGATAGACAACAGCAGCAAAGATCACACTGAAAGCATAGGGTGTGCACAGGCTCAAGTGGTGCTCTCATGTGGCTGGAGAAAGAGGGATGACAGGAAAGCCTGTCTTGAGGTCTGGGCCAGAAAAAATAAAGTTCATTTCAAGTATGTGTCACCCAAGCTGCTTTCCTATTCTCATTATGGTATGTGGTTCCAATTTGTACACTGGGTAGTCTGGGGCGGCTCCTAGGTATGTGGTTCCAATTTGTACAATGAATACTCTGGGGCGGCTCCGAGGTATGTGGTTCCAATTTGTATACTGAGTAGTCTGGGGCGGTCCCTAGGAGGAAAAATTAATATAAAAGTGGAAGGACTCAGGCTCAGCCTATCCCTGAAATGTCAGACCAAACTCTAGAGCCTCTTCAAAGGCTGTGAAACATTGCCACAGATAAACCCTGCTGAAGATGAGCTTAAAGTTAAAAAAAAAATCACATAACTCAAAGAAGAATAAGGCACCAAGGGCTAGAATCCTAAAAATAGAATCATGAGAGAGGGAGAGAATGAGCAAGAGAGAGAGAGATTATAAAATAAACACTCTAAAAATGACTGAAGACATAAGGCTACTCATAAAATGAAGAAGGCAATTTAAAAATGTCTGGTCTGATTGTTTTTAAAAGCATATGTACTTGGGCTGGAGAGACAGCTCAGCAGTTAAGAGCACTAACTGCTCTTGCAGAGGACCCAGATTTGATTTCCAGCACCACATGGTGGCTAACAACTGACTGTAACTCCTGTTCCAGGGGATTTGACACCTCCTTCTGACCTTCAGGGGCACTGCACGACACGGGTACACTTACATACATGCAGGCAATACACTCATACACATAAAATAAAAATAATAATAAAATATTTTTTAAAAGCCTATGTACTTTTGGACTATGGAGCAGTGTGTTGGTGGGTACAGTTCTAGAAATGGTATTGCTTGGTTGGTACTATCTGTATAGTCTGTCTGGCTATTTTCAAATTTCTGCATACCACTATCTATGGGTTCACCAATAGAACATGTAGTGATATTATTACCAGTGTGACAGTAAGCAATGGTGTCTCAGTGTTGCTTTAATTTTGTGGTTCTTTAATTATGAGTAGTTTCATCATTTTATCCATATTTGTGTGGATACCCTTTACATGTATTTCAAGCAGTTTTTCTTTTTTTCTTTTTTTTCTTTTGAGGCAAGTTGTATTAGTCAGGGTTCTCCAAAGAAACAGAACCGGTAGAATGAATATATATGTATAGAGATTTATCAGCTTAGCTCACAGGATAGAGTCTGAGTAGTCCAACAATGGCTGCACCACACTGGAGAGGCTGAGAATCTGTAGTCGCTCAGTCCACAAGGCTGGATGTCTCAGTAGTCCCAATCTGGCGCTCAAGGTCTGACGAATTCCAAAAGATCAGCTAGTCTTCAGTCTACAGCAGCAAGATGAACTCACCAGCAAGAGAGAAGGCAAGCAGAAAGAAGCCAGGCTTTCTCCTCTGCCTTGGCCTCTTATACTGGTTGCCATCAGAAGGTAACACCCACATTTAGGGTGTGTCTTCCAGCTTCAGAT